CATTTGCCTAAAGCATCTCTTGGCTGTCAAAGAGAAGGCTTCTACATACACCACAGACTCGCAACTGGTTCAACCTGAGTAAAGTCAGTACTTGAAAAAGAGAAGCTGAGGCAGGATGAAGTCTAGGCTTGTGAAAAAAAGAATCTACCCAAGAATAAATATTAATTATTTCGATGTAATAAATAATCTAAACTACAATCACCACTAGCATACCCACATTCCACAGTATTCTTTTGTCTTCTTCTATACAATGGGAATATACACACTGTCGCAGATTGTTAAAACACAATTTACCCACGCAGTAGTTTCAGAGCCTAATCAATACAACCCACCCCCTCAAGAGAAAAACAAGTATTTCAACATAATACCTACATGCCTTGGGACCTGAGAAAACAATATTTCTAATTAAGACAAAAACACCGCACCGCTTCATTTCACAGGACAGCTGTAACGAGACCTGCAAGTTAGTGCAAATCGAACTATCAGACAATCTATCTTGCAATAAAGTTACAGGTTGTCTTACCTCTCATCCTCACCATCCACGAGAGGCGTCGTCAATGGCAGCACCTTCAGCGGAAAGAGGGACGCAGAGGATGGCATGTTGCTGCTACCGCCATCTGAGACGGCCGATGCTCCAACACCACTGTCGCCACCGGCAGTTTGAGGTAAACCCACCAAGGAAGGTTCTGTAGGGCGCCTGCCATCTTCCATTTGGCTTACAATTGACTGAGCTAGTGATTGTGCGGGGAACTGGGCAGAGCTGAGCGGCATCTGCTGTGGCACACTCTGTGCCACCGGCATACCTATACTTGTTGATATCAAGGGAGGCTGGCTAACGCTTTGAGCCAGGTTCCCGTTCTGCACAGCCGAAGCCTGTGCTATATTCTGTGGCTGTCCCAAACCTATAGAAGCAGAAGGTATGCCAGGAGGCACAGCTGAACCAGCTTGACTTGGGGCAGGAACAGTACTAGCAGAAGGTATAGGGCTAACCGCAGGCATCTGCTGGCCGGTCATCCCTTGGACTACAGATTCCACTCCTTGTGCCTGCGGCTGTACAGGTAACAAGGTGTTTTGCTGAGCAATGACCATTTGCTGAGGAAGGCCCGAAGCGCCAGCCTGTAATCCCTGCTGCATTATTCCTGTCTGCACAGGCTGCACAACTTGTGAAGATGGTGGAGCAGCCGTCGACGGCATGACTGGAGGTGGAATTTGGTTTGCAGCAGACGGTGGTTGCACCACAGCGGCTACGCTTCCTTGCTGCCCAACGTTCAGCATTTGGCCACCGGCGGCTACACCTGGTATGGCTGCTGGGGCATGGGCAACAGGCTGAGCTGGGGCAGCGGCCGGATGCGCTTGCACTGGGGGCTGCATGCTCTGCGCCTGGGCAACGGGAACCGGCTGCCCGGCTCCGACTCCTGTAGAGCTGGGCTGCATGGCAGGGGCTGGAGTCTGGAGGATCTGCTGATGTTGCATGTAGTCTGGCATAGCCCCCGTGACGGAGCTTTGGTTCACCGGCTTAACGTGACCCGCGGCCATCTGCGTAGGAACGGGCTGTTGCTGCGGTTGTTGCTGTTGTCCATACTGCAACTGCGGCTGCTGTACCACTGGCAAGGCCTGCGCCGGCTGAGAGTAGGGGAGCTGCTGTTGAGCCATACTTTGAATGGCAGGCTGCTGGTGGCCCAGAGATGGGGATACACCTAGTATATTAACTGGGGCTGGCTGAACCCCAGTAACAGTGGTTAGACTGGCCTGTGCAGGAGGTTGGACCCCTGGCTTCTGCTGCGGATAGTTTACGTCTTGAGAATGCAGCTGGACTTGTGCAAGCTGTGATTGAGAAACACTCTGTGGTATACTAGATGCTGGAATTGCCGGAGGAGCAGCGCCGCTAAAATCCATCTGCTGCGGACCCACACCTTGAAACGCTTGCTGCTGTACCACAGGAGGTGCTCCCATTTCTCCGCTTCCCACACTTTCTGTATAGTGACTCAGTGTGCTTACATTGCTGCTAACAGAACTCCCACTGGTGCTCTCCCTTTCAGAAGTCACTTCAAGCGGGTTTTGTTTTATCGTCTCTACTGCTTTGTTTACTGCTACTCCTTCTGAAACGGCAACAGTGTTTTCTTTATCATAGAATTCAGTGCATGTCCATCTACCTTTTTTGAAAGGTTCAGAACTAGAATCTAATTTTACAACCCTAAACCTTGACGTGCCAGATGCAGGCTGCTGCTGGCTTGATCCCACTGCCATTCCTGCAGTTGGATTAGTAACATTGTTAATGACACTAGAGGAAGCACTCGTACCATTGCCAACACCACTCAGGATATTCACATTAACATTGCCGCTAGTTCCAGACAAAGCATTTACATTACCAGTACTCGTGATGTTGCTTAAATTTATAGTACCAAGCACACCGCTTGCCACACTAGAACTACCACCACCCATATTGTTTAAGGTACTAGTTCCAGCAGCAGGACTTACACCTAAATTGCCAGGAGTACTTGTAGTGCGGATATTAGACACGACAGATGCCGGGGAACCAGTGGATGATGCAGCAGAAACTGGTGCAGTTGATATAACATTGTCAGAGCTTCCAGTTGTTGATAGTTTTCTAAATGAGGGACTGGGCGGTGGTCCTCCAGAAATCGGGGCACTGCCCACCCCAGGATGCGATGGATGATGGTGTCCGTGATGGTGGTGGTGAAGATGGTGGTGGTGATGAACATGATGGGGGTGAACACTTCCATTGATCACAACACTCTGCTGTGGGTGATGAGGCAGAGGAGCATGCTGCTGAGGAAGATGAGGCTGGTTTGGAGAAACAGCCCCAGGAGTCTCTGCCTCTTGGAAGTTATTTAAAGTCTCTTCAGAGGAGCTCCGCTCAGGTTCTCCCAAGTCAGTGGCCCTGGATAAAGAAACATCCAAGATTTCTGAAGACGACAGGTCTTCAGTGTGGGACTCATCCAGGTCATCGTAGCTTTCTGTATCCTCAGCTATACTGTTATTAGAGCTCATACTAGCTGATATTTGAGCAGGGGTCACACTGGTGATTTGGAAGCCACTTTTCTTTTTCATTTGAGCTCCAGTCTGTGCGAGAGGCTGTGGCTGGAGCTGAGACTGCGAGAGGAGGTTCAGGCTTTGTGGAGGAGGGGGTGTCGGCTGTGGACCCGCGGATGAAGATGCTGCAGGAGACGGAGGCGGCGGCTGGACCAGCAAAGGCGGCTGATAATCCTCGGCGGAGAGGGCAGCGCTCCCAACGCCGGTACCTGGTGCAGTGGGAGCAGTAACGCAGCTGCTGCCGCTGCTACTGCTGCTGCCCCTTCTAGGAAACATTGCCGGGTGCGCCATCTTCCTAGCACTAATGTCTGCGGCTGAGTCAGGCTGGTGCATTGTATCGGGTGTATTTTAAGAGTGCAATTCCCCCGGTATGGAGAGAGACAGACACACACACGCACAGTTAGCTTGGCGCTCACGGCAGGGCAGAGAGACACCGCGCACAAACCGCCCCCCCACCCCCCTCCCCTCGCCCTTACCCACCGC